CTCCATAGGAGTGAGACAAAAGAACAGGAGGAGCCTGTTCCTAATGCACGCATGAGAAGAGCTGCCAGAAGGCAAGAGCAGCTCAAGCAAAGAGGACAACTCGGGAGTAGGGCCAAGAGATGATTGCCCCTCCCCATAAGGCTTAAAACAGACCAGCAACAGCATTTGGGCTTTGCCGGAAAACAACGTTGGTAGCTTTGTCTTCTTCTTCGTCTACGTCTTGTATTTATTTTTGTATCTGTGCCTTCTGAATGTTTGCCAAGAAAGGCCTTTGGCAGTTTGCCTAATTGGACCAAGGTTGCGATAGGACTGAGGAATTTGTGTTGGGAGGAATTTGTTTTAATTTAGTTGAACGACGCTGGGAATGAAGTAATTCTCAGCTGTTCAAATAAAGTTTGTTTTTTCACTGACTGATTTTCCTACTACTTACTTGGGCCTGGGTCACAACAGTTTTGATCCTTCTGTAGGTGCTTTGCTGTGGCATGAAGATTCTCTGGGAACCATGTCTTGCTTAATCCTCATGGCACTATCTTCATTTCAATCCCAGCTCCCAACTGGTGTGACCTTAGTTCTAAAGGTGCTTTTTCAAGAGGCAATTGGACTTTCTGGTTTTTCTTTGAAGATGTTTTGCTTCTCATCCAAGAAGCTTCTTCAGCTTCGTCTTCAAAGTCCAGTTGCCTCTTGAAAAAGCATCTTTGGGACAACCATGTCCTTGATGACTGAGAATCTCCATAGACATCCATCTAGTTTTAAAGTAACCTGTTTCCTCTTCTCCTGACACAATTTTGATGTGGACATTATTGGGCAATAAATCATGGTACAGTCATCCATGTGTCAAGTTTCCGAAAGATGCCCTAATTAATTCATGAGCCATGATCCAAACTTCAAAGGAAATATAGTGATTTATTTGGAGCACCATTCCAGCAATACTCGGATGCAGTCAGGACTGACCCCACGTAGATTTACGTTCCCCTATTGTTGTGGAGATGTTGTGGAGATGAGAAAGTAAGAAACATCCCAATAGGGCAGACAGAATCAGTTTAATTATTTATTGCAATAAAGGATCAGATCCTGATATAGCTATCAAGTGTCTGAACGCCATATGATTACCTACTCAGAACTTTTATACAGTTTCAAACAAAGGACTCTGTGGAGTCAGCAATTCATATGGTCCTATACATTTATCATTTTTAATTGACATTTCCTAATTACTGAGTTTGCAGAACAGTTATAATAATTCTTCTAAAAAGTTACTGAAGCATATTTTTCAAATTATCTCTTGTTGAAACAACAATGTGGACATCTCTGTTACTCTAACCTTCAAGGTGTAAATCACGTAGACTGTTCTTATCTGTGACAACTGAGAGGCCTTGAAGTAAGCGTCCTCCCGGAAAGGAATGTCCCTGCTTGTGTTCTGAATATAATTGCAAGCAATTTCTCTCTTACAGTATTAAGAACAAAGAGGGCCCTTCAGTGACTATTTAGCTGGACCCGTGCTTATTATTTATTTTATTTTGTTACCTGTTCCACCATACTATGACCCTGTCTCTCCCCTCCCCCCTGGCCATGTCATAAATCACATTTTCCAATTAACCACTTTGGCTGGCTGTGAAACCCAACACCCTCCTTCTGATTGCGATCAGAAAAATGTATGGAATTCACTTCAGTTCTCCCTCCCTCCTGCTCATGGCAACTTGAAAGCTTTGCAAGTTGACACCATGGGTGTATTGTGCAAACATAGCAAATTAAAATTTAAATAACAGTATAAGCATAGATATGACCCAGCAAATATACCGTAATTGACTTCTAAAGCTAAGATTAAACTGCCACGTTTATGTATATAAAGAAGTGACCCTTAGCTGGTACAATTTCAAAAAGGTTTTGTTTTATGTATGACCTGTTTCTAACGCACTTAAACAATTCTTTTCCACATCCACAGGCCTGCTGCCTATTCTCTCAGTGTGCTGGCTGGGCTTCTCCCAGTGTGGTTTTTACAATTTTATTTGCGCGGGCTCCCCTGAAGTTGCACAAATACTTGTCACAAAGAGAACTCTGGTCCAGATGTTATTGTGTGTCTCTAACCTGACTCACTTCACTTCCTCCTTACTCTGAAAGGAAAGATTGGGGGTGGGTGGGAAACTCCTATTGCTTTTATTCCGTAATGTTGAGGCTATGTATGTGGTTTGAAATCGAGATCAAATCCTGTGATTCAGGTAACTCTCACCTGATTCTTTACGCTGATTTTGTTTCTTTCCTTCTGATATTCCAGAAAGGTGTTAGTGCAAGTCTTAACAAGATGATGTTCTAAAAATTACCAGTGGTGTCCTTTTATTGTCTTTAGTTTAGACCCATCCCAGTTGAAGGGGCGGGGAGGGGGGGAAAAAGAGGTAATAGAGCTGAAGCATTCTGTTTTGCAGTGGTTCTTTTGTGGCAGAGAGTCGATTCCATCAGGTAAATAGTAGTTGGTGAAAGTTTATGTACTAACTTTATCACAGTAAATTTTAAGATGCCATGAGACTTGTTTATAATTTTTACAGGTAGTCCTCAACTTATGACCACAATTGAGCTCAAAATTTGTGTTGCTAAGTGAGACATTTGTTGACTTTTTACAACTCTTTTTTTGCCATGGTTGTTAAATCAATCACTGCAGTTGTTAAATTAGTAACACAGTTGTTAAGTGAATCTGGCTTCCCCAGTGACTTTGCTAGTCAGGAAGTCGCAAAAGGTGATCACATGACTCCCAGGACACTGCAACCATCATAAATAGGAGTCAGTTGCCAAATGTCTGAATTTTGATCACATGACCATGGGGATACTGCAACGGTTGTGTGAAAAATGGTCATAAATCATTCTTTTTCAGTGCTGTTGTAACTTCCAACGGTCACTAAATGAACTGTTGTAAGTCAAGGGCTACCTGTATTGCAGAAAACTAACTTGCATGAATAACTTCCTAAATCTTTAAACATGTTGGTTCTGCATATCATAAAAATATCATTTTATTTGCAAAACTGGCATCGGGTATTCATTGTCTTCATTCTTATCAAAGTACAATTCTATTTTTAAAAAATATTTTGCAGAAAACTCCTTCACTATCAGGAGGACTCCCTCTCTCTTTCTCTCTCCCTCCCTCCCTCTCTCCAGTTTTTCCAGTCACTTGATTTTACAGTAAAATGGCGCACCACACAATCACTGCTACTTTTTTTTTTAAGCACAAGGAAAAGTGGGGCCCAGGAAAAGTAATGAAATAGCAATTAAAAAATCCTTTGCTGCTTGGCAAGAGTTGCCAAGAGACCTATAACAAAACATAGACATATTGGAAAGAAACACAACAATCATTAAGAAATAATTTTAAGCTGGTTATTTTGCCACAATTTATGTGCTTTTTGATATTAATTTCACATAACTTTATATGTGTGTATGTTTTATAAGTATATATGCAATGCACACTTGAACATGCATAACATCTACATATACAAAGGTATATATTTAAATATATACTGAATCCCTTGTAAGTTGTTGCTGAACTGTCTTGACAGAATTTTCTTAACGCAGTTTAGTTACATCAGCACGAGCACAGAACAGGTGCATTTAAAATAGGAAGTGCTGAAAAAGTAGCTTCTGCGGGTCGGGGTATTTTAAAAAGTCAAGATGGAGGTTGCAACCATGCAAATCCAAGCTTCACACCTTTGTATATGCATATGATACTAACACGAGTGGGATAGGGATTTGCTTGCATGGTCTCAATTGCCATCTTAAGCTTTTTTGATGCCTCCTCCCCTCTAGGACATTGTTCTGCAGAGAAGCCTTCATCTGATTATAGAAAGCTAACATGGATGGAGTAAATTATCCTAAAGAAGAAATGCATGCTGAAATGGATTTGATTTGTTTTTATTTATTTTTATTTATGGCCTAGACTTTTTTCAAATGAACAAATCTCTCAGACACGTCAAAGCTTGGCCTATTCAATAATGAACTTGACTAAATTTGAAATCCTTTCTGCATTAAATCCATAAGCATTCCAGTTTTCTACAGATCTTGATTGTCTCAACATAGTTCCTATCACTCTCTGGACATCCTGACTCAATACGATAGAGGTTGTACAGGTAGCCCACGACTTACGACCACCACTGAGCCCCAAATTTCTATTGTTAAGCAAGACATTTGTTAAGGGAGTTTTGCCCCATTTTACAATCTTTCTTACAATGGTTGTTAAGTGAATCACCGCAGTTGTTAGGAACAAGTTGTTAAGCGAATCTAGCTTCCCCATTGACTTTGCTTGTCAGTCTCAAAAAGGTAATGGTGTGACCCCAGGACACCGCAATCATCGTAAAGGTGAACCAGTTGTCAAGCATCTGAATGCTGATCATGTGACCATGGGGATGCTGTAAGGGATATAAGTGTGAAAAACGATCACAAGTCACTTTTTTTAGTGTCCTCACTTTGAACGGTCACTAAACGAACTGTTGTAAGTGGAAAGACGACCTGTAATCTAACACAGTTGCAGGGCACTGGTCTGGGGAAGGTCAAACACCTGGAAAGCCTCTAACTTTCTCTTCTTATGCACACAGTTTTAAAAAAAGCAATTCTAACTGCAGTTTCGCTTCCCGGAAAAAAAATATGCATATACTTCTTTTCCAGAGGAAACCCAGCTGGCGAATGAAAGCTTAGCTTCTTGGAAAGCCGAGGGCGATCATTTAGCGGGGTCATCCTAGACGGGGCGTGAGCACTCAAGATGGGAAAGGAAACTTAAAGTTTCACGGAGGTCACGTGGTTTACAGGAACACCACAGACCAGCGCCGAAGGCGAGCCCGACTTTCTCCTCGCGACTGCGCAGTGCCTCTTGGCAGCGATGGAGGCGAGCGAAAGACAGGCTTCCCCCCGCCCTCGCCCGCCCGCCCGCCAGGAGACTGCCCATTCGGAGGTGGTTCTCGCTGATTGGCTGTCATTGGCCAATGAACTTGCCCTCCGATTCGTACTATAAACCTCATGCAGCGGGCTGGAGTTTGTTTGTTATTTCTGCATTCTCCTCTGTTGCGACATAGAAGATCTCCGCTAGTGGAAAGAAAGGTAATGATTTGTCCTTTTTATGCAGTGGCTTTAACTCGTAGAAGGGAGCGGATTAGCTGAGCCGTAGATGCTTCCACGCAGATGAGGAAGGAAAAAAAAAAAACACCAAACCACTTTCTTCTTCTAGGCGGCTATTTTCACCTTTTCTGTGTCTTGCCGGAGCAAGAAGTTTTGCGGCTGCTTTTCTGATAACGGCGTCCAATTGTGACATTTTTTAAATTTTAATTTAAATTATTTATTTTTTTAAGTTTCCTGAAAATGCATTTACAAATATGAGCCGAAAAGAGTACAACGCGGAGGCAACATCTTTGTGCACCTGATCCAACACGCCCCCTTCCCCCCCCCCACACCATCCCCGGTCGCAGGTGTAGAGATTTGACCGGTCTGTGGTCAGGAAGTACTGGGTGCGATTTGCTCGTCGGTGGTTCCAGGAGCAATGGTTACTCAGTAGATTCATAATCATAATCATAAGTTTATTTGTCAAGCATATATAACAGGTAACAGTATAAACATAATTTGAATACATGAAAAGTGTAAGTAAAAAGGAATATTAGGACAGGGACGGTAGGCACGCTGCTGCACTTATGCACACCCCTTACAGACCTCTTAGGAATGGGGTGAGGTCAACAGTAGACAGCTTAAGGTTAAAGTTTTGGGGGTTTGGGGAAGAAACTACAGAATCAGGTAGTGCATTCCAGGCATTGACCACTCTGTTACTGAAGTCATATTTTCTGCAATCGAGTTTGGAACGGTTTACCTTGAGTTTGTATCTATTATTTGCTGGTGCATTGTTGTGGTTGAAGCTGAAGTAGTCATTTTCCCCTGTTTGCAGTTCCCTCATCACCTGGGAAGAATTTAGATGCAAGTGGTGATAGCAAAGGACTATATGGTGAGAGAGATATCCTGCAGTATATTGCTTTATATAGTTCTGCAGATTGTATGCAACAAAAATTCTTGCTTGCTGGTAGGAGACCTGCTTAATGTTATCTCTTAATGTGCATATGAATGGGGTATTAAGCAAGTTAGCAACCAGTATAGGGGGAGAGACAGAATTTTGGAGCCTTTGTTTGCTGCTAAATTTATTTTCAGTAGCATTTGAGCTGATGGAAAGCTATCTCTGTGCTACTAAACACTTGTGTCTGTAACTTTCAATTGGTTGTTTCAATTGTTGCCATATGATGCACTGCAAGGGTGCATCATAGGGCAACAGTTTTTGAATCGACATACTTCAGATGGGCTAACTACAGATGGCGTAATTTACAGAATGCATCCAAAATCCAGGACCTATGACTACTGTGGGGTTAAAATTTGGCAGTTGTGGCCACTTCATTGCTGTTGCAGCCAGCTGTGATCATATGATTGTCATTTCCAATGCTCTCTACCAGGAAATCGGTGAGGAAGTTACTCCTGCTCTCACTGCTCTTTTGCTTGCCGGTAATCATTCTGTTTCTCTATTTAGGTAAGGAAATACTTTTGAAACGGTAATCCAACAGGGCACAGATTGTCTAGGAGCACGAGGTAAAATTTTCTGCTTTCATTGTCAACCTTTTATCTCTTTCTGTAGTTTTGGGTGTTGAGGGAAGGAGATGATGAAATATGATGACATCATGCAAATGAGGTTATGTATTATATGACTCTGTATGGTGGGTTGGGCTGAGGGAGAATGTGACGGGCCCAAAGTCACCCAGCCAGTTTTGTATGTTCAGGGATGGACTAGGACTCACAGTCCCCTGGCTTCAAGCACCGTGTGTGTTTTGGCATCATTATAATATAGAATAGAATTAATTGAATTGAATTGAATTCTTTATTGGCCAAGTGTGATTGGACACACAAGGAATTTGTCTTTGGTGCATATGCTCTCAGTGTACATAAAAAGACAAGATACTTATGCTGGAGATGATGTCTGTATTCACTGTTTTGACAAGTGTAGCACAGATTGATAAAAAAAAAAAAGATCGGTGGTTTCCTAATTTTATTTTTCTCCCCTTCCCCTAAACATCAGCAGTTGGAAGATGATCACTCTCCTTAGCAGATAACAGCATAGGAAGGGAGAGAGGAATAAGCAGATTGTGACAGATGGATAGACCTGTAGCTGCAAAACCTGTTCCCAACTTTATACAAGTATTTTGTATGGCTAAGTTCAAAGGAGCCCAACTAGCTGCTGACCACTTCTGTGGGGTACACAGTGCAAACCTCTGCTGACTTCCTGGTCAGCTTAGCTTTTGATCCCCACCAAGTCACAGGTGAGTGATACAACAACTCTGATCTGGACTAGAAGGGGTGGCAGGTGAAGCAGAACTGTTTGTTCTTCAAAATTTCTTTCAGATTTTCTGTAACACACAATTAAGGTTTTTCAAAAGTGTACCCCTTGTATATCACACCTGTGATGGTGAAGTTTCCTTAACTAACTGTGACAGCCCTTAAGTGCCACACAATTGTCTTAGTGCAAAAGACCTGCTGTTGTCATTTTCAAGTGCACAATATAACCAGCTGAACATTAGTGCACACATTTGTTGTGGAATACAGTAAAATGATAAAGTAGGTGTGGGTAATGATTTAGAAATATTGTGAGGAGTTGCAAAATCTTTTTATTAATAGCTCTTGTGGGTCTGTTACATAAAGATTAAAAACATCTTTTCACTATGGGCTTCTATCATACCAAACAGGAATTTTCATCTGAGGCAAGTTTTGTTCATTCATTGCTTTCAATATTTATATTCTTCCCTCCTGCAGTTCCTTTGAAATCAACTTTCAGTTTGAGAAAATCAAACTTGCAATATAATCAAAACAGTCAACATCTAAAAATAGTGTGAAATTGTCCTAATTAACATTTCACAGTTTAAAGGGCAGAGATTTTTTTGATGAGATGTTTGAATCCTTATCACGTACTATCCCCACCTCAGAAAATCTGAAAGAGAACACCCAGCAACTATTATTTTGGTGGTCAGGCAGATCTATTCAACTAAAGGGACACATGTTTTGGCTGATGTGCCCTTAAGTACAGCAAAATATCTCAGTTTTTGAAAAGTATTTGAAGCATGTATTGATATACATTGTGTGGGGTGGGAATATTTGGGCTCAGGGATGATAATCATTTGAGGTTTAAAGGATGGAATATGTTAGACTCAAAATGGCAGAATGGTTGGAGAAGGTAGGAATTGTCACCACTACTGGCAAGGACAGCGAGTTTAATTTCCCTATTCCATCTGGAGCAGGTGCATAGTGACTTTTCTTCAGGGAATGTGGCCCAAGCTATGGTGTACTTGTTGAAATTGAGCACTTTCTGGGAGGAATGTGATAACTGAAGGAGTTCAATCTGCCATAGTGATAAGTTCACTGAGCTAACTATTACAGTATGATATATGCCTGGTTTTATTTATCTATCCAATGAATATGGCTGCCGTATCTCCATTCTGGGCACTCTGGGCAGTGAACAAAATGAAAACAGAAATTCATTAAAAGCCAAAACCCAATTAAAAGTGCATCAGGGTGCATCAAGGCTCGATAAAAGCACAAAACCACCACAGGAGGATTATTATATAGCAGTATCAGGAGCTATCTCATGACAATTTATTTCACGTACATGTGCACCAATGGGGAGAATGCTTAGAGTGCTCTATTTACATGAGATTAGAGGGATGTAAACCCAGAGACAATCTTTCTCTGGGAAAAGCCCAATTTTGTAGCATCTTGCCTTTACAGCTAAACATTGCAATCTCTTTTTGGTATTTCATATTGCTTAGTTATTAATTAATCGTTATTGCTAATTAATCGATTGATTTTGCAGTTTTGTTGGCTTATTTTGAATGGGTTACCATCCTAGGGATGCAGTGGCTCAGTTGCTAAGACGCTGAGCTTGTCGATCAAAAGGTCGGCAGTTCAACGGTTCGAATCCCTAGTGCCGCGTAACAGGGTAAGCTCCCGTTACTTGTCCCAGCCTCTGCCAACCTAGCAGTTTGAAAGCACATAAAAAATGCAAGTAGAAAAATAGGGACCACCATTGGTGGGAAGGTAACAGCGTTCTGTGCGCCTTTGGCATTTAGTCATGCCAGCCACATGACCCTGGAGACATCTTCGGACAGCACTGGCTCTTCAGCTTTGAAACAGAGATGAGCACCACCCCCCAGAGTCGGGAACGACTAGCACATATGTGTAGAGAAACTTTACCTTTACCTACCATGATAATATGACAAACATTTATTGCTGAATTCTGGTCTGAAATGATTGACTTCTGTATTTCTAAAACTGCCAAGAATATTATAAAAGTTTAGAACGTGATATGGGAGCTGAATTTGAAGCCTACTTGGCTATGAAGACATGTAATAAAAGTTCATAAGCCTGTAATTAACATGGGTTACATCATCTGGTTGTTGTTTTGGAACAGGTTCTCCTTGGAGGGTTCTTCCATTAATCCATAAGTTATTCAGTATAAGAAATAGAAACTTATTTCATATTACACGTGACAGCTACACAATGGCAACACCAGCAAATAAGGGGTGAGTGCTTCTGAGCTAAAATTGTAAAACAACAATAATAAAAATGTATGTGTCTGCAGAGGAAAAGTAGGCTTGGGTATCCTTACTTTTATTCATACACTTTGCTTTTCAGCTAGTGAATAGTATGATAAATCTGATAATGAAGCCAAGTGCTTCTCTTTTCTTCAAATAAGAGCTTTTGACCTAAATTACATTGAGAGGGAGGGGGGGAAAGCAGCAAAGGAAGAAGAGATTGGGACTTCTTTATTCAAGCATTTGGAAGTAAATTCAATAGCATTTTCTTCCCTGTAAATCTGCTTAGAATTCCAATGTTGCACATCAAGCCCTATAAATAAAATAACAAAAAACAAAATAATAGTTTTTACAATTCTATGCTGACTTTACGATGCTGGCAGAAAATGAACACAATATACCATAAACTTGTGACCCAGCTTAATACTTCAGCATAGCATCTAATACACTCTGATATTTTGCATTTACACTCCTGGGTTGGTTGCAACTCACATTACTTGTGCTGGGATGTATATTTAATATTTTGCCCTCCCCCTACAGATACAGTTGATTGTGTCTGTTCTATTTTAGATGAATCGGAGAGTCATACACATTATTACAACCTTGGCTAACCCAGTACTTTCCATTTATATTCGACTACAGTTTCCACTGACTTCCCACTGAAATAATGGTATTACTTTTCTGTCAGGTAGTTAGTGGGTGTTGTAATCTAGTAATGACACTAGATTGGGGAAGACTGTATAATCGCAAGTAGCTTGTGTCACTACAATCTCCATACAGCACCTTGTGCTTCTGTGTAGCAGCTGGAAATGTTGGGTTTCAGATCAAAGGGTGGGGGATTTACAACAGCCACAATTCTGCACTGATGTAATAGTGTAGTATATGTTACTTATTAATCATTAGTGTAGTAAAGTTACTTACTAATCATTAGGAAGACACTGAGTTACTGCCCGTGTTATTTCTGAAGGAGTTACTCATATAAAAAATAATTATTTTCCATCTATCTAAATCTCATTTAATTGCTGGGTATGTATTATAGCTCTATAGCTATTTGGCTTTGAAGGGGAGAAAGTGATTATATATAATGGATACAACACCCCCTTAAATCAAATATATCTCTCCTTAGGATAGTAGAGTATCAGCCAGACTACCTCAGGAAAAAACACAGGTTCTTCCTAATTGTTGACAGTTGCTCAGCGAACATCCCTCTCACAATTGCACAACTCTATTGTGTCAAATTAATGATTTGTTGTTCTTTTGTCTGCAAATTCACTCTCTTACTGCAGTCAAGCAATAGTTAAATGTTCCAGAACAGGCAAATTAACGTCCACAAGGTAAACAAGTTCAAGTACAAGTTCAAAATAAGCACCACATATAAAAACTATTGCCTGCCATGTTTCTCTGTTGACATTTTTTAACCTCGGATTAAGGATCAAGTGAAGGTAGCAGAACTCAGCTGATCCTGAAAAAGTTTAACAAAAGTAGGCCTGTTTAGTACTGTATGTGAATGGGAAAACACCAGGAAAGTCCAGACTAGATAAGGAAGTTGAAAAACATTCCAGAGTAGTGACAAACCATATTTGAATTGTTACCAAGAGAAGAAGGGATGTTGTCTGTTGCATCATCACATGTTGATTTGAGGGAGAAAAAGTACTAAATTAGACACAGTTACTATACTGTATATTATGACTCAGATTCACCTAAAATGGAAAGGAATGATCCAATCAGGCTATACCATGAAAAAAAAATGCATTTTTGTAAAGTTCAGGGAAGAAAGATTTGATTCTGGCTTCTTTATTTGAAAATTCTATTATGAAAACTGCACTTCTTTTTCTTAATCAGAGGTTTTATTATTTTGTCTGAAGTCTGCAATGAGAGATTTTGGAGATAATCCTGCCTGTGGACTTAGTCATTTTTCTTGTGGTTGAGTCTGGGCTATAATTTTCAATGATTAAAGTTCTTCTATTTGTTCACTCAGGAATCCGAAAAAAGTTGGGTTTTTTGATTGGTTGATTGAACAGATCAACAGTGGAAGATACAAGGGTTTGTTGGACTGGACAGACGAGAACCACACAACTTTTCGTATCCGTTGGAAGCATAATTCAAAGAAGAATCTTGTGGCACATGATAATGAGATTTTCAGGGTATGAACATTTTCTGTTCAAAATGATTATATGTATGTGTTTGCCCTGCCAAACGACGTATTATTTTCTGTAACCATTGCAAGCTTCTAATATTTTAAGTAGATCATGATGTAAGCTTTCGCAGATTAGGCCTACTCCTTGATGCTGAAACAAACTAACAGCAGTTTTTCTGAAAGCTTGAAGAATCCATTTTACTCCATATCCCTAGAATGGGTAGCAACTCATGGTTCTATTTATGTGACAGATTACTTTAAAAACTTTTAGATGCATGTAGATAATGTTATGGATTCCAAAGGTTTTTTTGGGAGAAACCTGACCTGGAAATTAAGGGAAATTTCTGTTGGAAGCTAGAATAAAAAGGGAGCTTTTTATTACACAATTTTAAGATTGTGGGCAGGGATGAAATGCTCCCGGATCGGGCCGGATTGCCCAGTCCGGTAGCAATCTTGGCCAGTGGTTCAGCGATCCGGTAGCAATGGTGGAGCAAGGCTCCGCCCACCCGCCCAGGTGTCATTACTTCCTGGTTTTAACCAGGAAGTAATGTGTTTTTTTACCTTCTGCACATGCGCAGAAGGTTTTGCGCGTGTGCAGGTCTGCGCACACATGTGATGTGCGCACACGAGCAAAGCGAGCACGTGCACAGCGTGTGCACTTCCGAACCAGTAAGGAAGGTAAGTAGATTTCACCCTTGGTTATAGGGGGTCCTAAAGTGACACTTCCATTGTAGGTCGCTCTTCCAGATTTTCCATTGTTGCTGCATATTTCTTGCTTTTTATTTTTGATAAAGGAGAAAGGGTAATAGTAGTAATATCTGATAGTTTAATGAAAACCATCTCTGAGTAAAAAAGTATTTTAATCTTTGTTTTCATTGTAATTATATTCAGAAACTGCCCATAAGGAAACACCTTATTTATAATGGGTGGAGATCGGCATTAGTGGAAACTTTGCTCCCATTCTGAGTAGCAGATATCTCTCTCAGTGTATGTGATTACTTTTATTTAAATGAAGTTTTATTAAGGTTATTATAACATAAAATACAGTGCAAATAAAGATTAAAAACTAGGGAGTGCAGGATAAAAAAGAAAAGAGAGCCTGATTTCCATTTCTTTTCAACACAGTAAAATATTAATACATTAATAAACCTCAACTTTTTACATTACCTATAATTATTACAAGCCAGTTCTATAACTACAATTATTAAATGTTCAAACCAAGTTCTAATTTCAGGTTTTCTTGTTTCAAACATAAAAATCAGAATTAATAGCCCAATAAAAACGAACCAAATAAAAATTTCCTCCTCACCCATTTTTCCTCTGTTGTAAGATATGATATATATTTCTGTTTATGGTGGATTTGATTTAAATCAAGTCAATTTAAATCATGATTTAAATCACTAGTAAAAATCACTTGGTTTAAATCAACTCGATTTAAATCATAATTTTTAAAGAGCAACTATCATCTCTGTCCCACAGCGGCTCCTCCTCTGACCCTCTGTTGACTCACCAACAGTCCCAATATTGCAGAATATATAGTCTCATGCTATATAACTAAACTTCATTTCATGCTGAATAAACTAAATTGTTAATGTATCTTAAATAGAAAACTAACTTTAGATAGATTTTTACTCCAAAAGCATTTTATTAAAATAAATTTGATAAAAATAAAAAATCAAATTTAAATTTAAAAAAATCAAATTTAAATAAACCCATTTTTTAAAAAAAAATTAAATCCGATTTTTTTTTTTTAATCATCAATTTTTATCCATCCTGCATGAAAAACTACACAATGAAATATCTCTAGTTGCCTGTTCAGTACACCTTTACATTTTATCAAGTTTTGGGGTATTTGCTTTTTTATTAGATTCTGATTACCCTATTCCTGATTAATTGGATCAGGAATTGGACACAGTGGGGTCTGACTTTTTATTGAATGGAGAAGTATCTTTTGTGTTTACATTTCAATCTCATTATGTTTTGTGTTTTCATATGAAAAGGCATGGGCTATCTATAGCAAGAAATATAATGAAGATAAATCAGCTCCTAGTAAATGGAAAATCAACTTCCGCTGTGCCATGAACAGTACAAAGAGATTTGAGGAACTGGTGTCAAATGAACCTGACTTTCACAAATACAGAATCATCCCCCTAAAACCAAAAACTGAATCAACAGCTAATCCCTCTTCTGGTACAAGTAAGAGTTCTTGTTTTATATTTTTAGCCTAGAGATAGAGAGGGATGCAATTTCCTGTGAATAAGAAATAATGAGAAAAGTCTGAAGTTTTGAAAGGATATCATTTAAAAATAAATGGAGTATATCCATTCAGGTAATCCTCGACTTACGACAATAATTGAGCATACCCATTTCGGTTGTAAGGTGGGAGGACGTTAATTGAAACTCGTTAAGTGAAAGAGCCCTCGTCTGGATCACCCCAATGCACATGTTAAATAATATAGGGGTGGATGCAGGGGTTGTTAAATACGCATGGGTGCCTCGGATGCTTGCCCAGGGCCTCCCCCACCTCCTGAGATACCCCCATGCTCTGCTTCCTTTCCTTGGGGTTCCCACAGCCATCTCCACCCCTCACAATCCCTTGCTTACCTTCCAGAGATCTGGAGAATTCAGTATTTTTTTTTTGAAATTTTTATTTTATTTTATACATAAACAAACATTTAATACATCAGTCATTCCTTCCATGTGACATCTTGGTGTTTTCTCCATGACTTTGTCTTTTTGTTGTTTCTTCTGTCTTCATTTTCTTCATTAATCTATTACAACATTTCTCCAAAAATACCATATTCTAATTATGCCATTTTCTTACATAACTATTATTTTGCTCATCTATATCTCCGTGGTGAAATGCTCCCATTCGGACCGGATCGCCTGATCCGGTAGTGATGGCGGTGGGTGGTTCAGAGCAAAAATCCCTGCGGGCCCCCCCATGCCCAGCTGAGCCGTGCAATCATCAGAGGCTGGTTTTTTTACTTTTAAAAGCATTTTTTCTACAATCTCTTCGGCCGAAAAAATGCTTTTAAAAGTAAAAAAAAAAAAAAGCCTCTGATGATCGCGCGGCTCAGCTGGAATTGTCAGAGGCTTTTAAAAGCATTTTTTCCGAAGAGGCTGAAGAAGTTGTAGAAAAAAAAATGCCTTTAAAAGCCTCTGGCGATCCCAGCTGAGTTGCCTGATTGTCAGAGGCTTCTAAAAGCATTTTTTTCTGCAACCTCTTAAGATTGTAGAAAAAATGCTTTTAAAAGTTAAAAAAAAAAAAACTTGGCCACGCCCACCCAGTCACATTACCACCACCACCACCAAGCCATGCCCACAGAACCGGTAGTAACAAATTTTAGATTTCACCCCTGCTATATCTCTTTTCTAATCAATGGTAAAATTGATCCCATATCTTAAAATATTCTGAATCCTCTCTTTAATTATCAAAGTTAATCTATTCATTTCTGTACAGTCTAAATTTTTTTTAATTACTTCTCCTTCCAGAGGTATTTTCTCTGCTTTCCTGTTTTGGGCAAACACAATTGCAGCTGTTATTACATGTATAACCAAATAAATATTTTCTTTACTAATTTTCTCTGGGAGGATACCCAATAGGAACAGCTCCGGTTTTAAATCAATATGTTGTTGTGTCATTTCTTCTAACCATGTCTTAATTTTATTCCAATAGTTTTTAGCTTCTGGGCATGTCCACCACATATAATAATAAGATCCTGGTAACTGGTGACATTTCCAACATTTAGCTGATTTATCTTTAAACATTTTTGCCAGTTTTTCAGGAGGCATATGCCATCTATAAAACATTTTATATTGATTTTCTTTATATGCAGTGGACATTATTAATTTGTAGTTCCTTTCCCATAACTGTTGCCACTTATCTAGATCAATTGAATATCCAAAATTCTTTGCCCAAGCTATCATTGTTTCCTTTACTTGTTCTTCCTCTAGCTCAATGCCAAGCAAAAAATTATAATTTTTTTAATTTTTTTTACTTTGTCCTCTGTTCCTATGAGTATCCTATCCAACTCTTGTCTTTTCTAAATAAAAACCATATAGTTTAGCATCTTTTTCGTATCTTGTTTACATATACATATACCAATCCATCTCAATCCCCTGTTCTTCCAGTTCTCGTTTCCCCTTCAATTCCCCCTTATCTGTTAATAACACCTTGTATCTAACAATATTTCTGAAATTAAAAATATTTGGATGTATTAAAGCTTCTATTGTTGATAAACATTGGTATTTTCACATAATATTTGTCTCTAACCTTCTCCCATATCAATAGCAATGTGTTTCTTATATAATGTCTATGAAAGTACGCATGTATCTTACTTCTACCATACCATAAAAATGCATGCCATCCTAATTGTAAATCATGTCCTTCCGAAGTTAATAATCTTATATTTCTTAATTCAACCTATTCCTTCATCCAAGTCAATGCTGCTGCCTGGTAATATAATTCCCAATTCGGCAGTCCAAATCCTCCACATAGTCTTGTATCTTGTAACATTTATATGCTTATTCTTGCTTTTTTCCCTTGCCATATAAATTTCCTTATTATCTTATTAAAATGTTGAAAATATGTCTTTTCAATTTTTATCGGTACTGTCTGATATAAAAATAATAGTCTTGGCAATACGTTCATCTTTGTTATTACAATCTTTCCCATAAATGACAGTTGAAGGTTTTTCCATTTCTCCAAGTCTTTCTCAATTTGTTCTTTTAATTTATAATAGTTATCCTCTTTTATTGCTGCACATCTCGACGTTAAGTATACTCCTAAATATTTAACTTTTTTCGCAACTTGTATATCTAATTTCTCTTTTATCTCTCTTCTTTGTTTTTCTGTAATATTTTTCACCAATATTTTCATTTTTTCTTTGTTTATTTTTAGGCCAGACAACTTTCCATAACTCTCTATTTGTTCTAATAATGTGGGGCCCGTTATTTCAGGTTCTTCTAAAATGAATACTAAGTCATCGGCAAAAGCTTACAATTTATACTCTTCTTTTTTCATTTTCATCCCTTTTATCTCTTCATTTCGCCTAATATTTCTAGTTAAAACTTCTAAAGAATTCAGGATTATGGTCCATTCTTACTGGGCCTGTAGAGCAGATGTTTGCAAACTGACCTTGGCAAAGCAGCATTTCCCCCACCTTCTGCCTTTCTGCATGTCCTCTTTAACTCAAAATAGGATAATGAGCCACAGTTTGTGCTTCACAGTTTCTGTATTTCCTGGTGAAAAAAGTTAAAAGGAAGGGGGAGAAACAGGAGCATGGTACAGGGAGATGGTGAACAAGGAAGGGTTAAGTGTTAAAAGGGCAATGCAGAGGGAGGGAGAAGAGCAGCTTTGCCTTCCAGGTCAGGTTTCAAAGATGGGCCCAGTAAGAATTATTTTTTATTTTATTTTATTTATTTGTTGAGTAGGTATTAGATAATATACATAAGTATAAGTACGAATTGAATACATAAAATGAATACAATTAAAGGGACATTAGGACAGGGACGGTAGGCATACTGGTGCTCTTATGCACGCCCCTTATAGACCTCTTAGGAATGGGGTGAGGTCAACAGTAGCCAGTCTAAGGTTAAAATTTTGGGGGTTTGGGGATGAAACCAGAGAGTCAGGTAGTGCATTCCAGGCATTGACCACTCTGTTGCTGAAGTCATATTTTCTGCAATCAAGTTTGGAGCGGTTCACTTTAAGTTTGTATCTATTGTGTGCTTGTGTATTGTGGTTTAAGCTGAAGTAGTCATTGACAGATAGGACATTGTAGCAGATGATTTTATGAGCTATGCTTAGGTCATACCGAAAGCAGAGTAGTTCTAAATTTTCTAAGCCCAAAATTTCAAGTCTGGTAGCATAAGGTATTTTGTTGCGAGCAGAGGAGTGGAGGACTCTTCTTGTGAAATATTTTAATAATAATAATTAATTGCCCATAATACTGAATTCTGCAGATCTCTGGAAGGTAAACGTGTGAGGGGGTGTAACCGGGGGGTGGGGGGCACGGGGAAGCAGGCCCAATGCCTTTGGGACTCAGCAAGGCAAGGATGGGGGAGGAGAGGTAGGTGAGCATGCTGCAGTGTCTCTACAAAATTAGAAGCCGCCCAGTCATTCGTAAGTGCTAACGATCTGATAATTTTTGTAAAATTCTTATTTTCGAATCATGGTCATACATGGCTTTTGGGAGGTTTATTGTAACTTTGAACAGTCACTAAATGATCTGTTGTACCTTGAGGATTACCTGTATTATTCCAAGCTAACTTTGCCAAGCCTTATCTTTGGGAATTTAGTTGTGATAATAATGTCTGTATACATCACAGACCAGCAACTGCATCTTAAAGTACTTTGAATTTCTAGAACCCTTTCATATATGAAAATTTGCAGTGGTACAGCATTGGATTTTTGAACAAGGATTCCCAATTAGGCAATGTGCAATAAGTACATTTCCGTTTAGTAAATGTGAATTAAGATGGTATGATTGGGACTGGAATGAAGCAAGAGAGTAAACCAACTTCATAGCTTGCTTTTCTTTGTCACACAAAGATTCCTCTTGCCCCAGTGATGGGAGCTGTGATGTGTCAGGATTGTGGAATTCAAATAAATGAGCTTGGAGGTGATCCTCCTGAGGGGGAGTATGGCGTTTTCAAATACGCATAGTAATGTGCAATTTGGATATCAGCTTTTAAAAACCAAGCTTAAACAATTAGCGTATTGGCAGAATAGTTCTGCTGATGTGAATCCAACTGCAGGAGAGAAATTACAATTGTACAACATGCTTTCTTGACTCAAAAAACAGTAACAAATTACCCAAGCTGAATAAAAGTCAGAGATAGAAGCCCAATCTACTACTAGTACATAGACTGCTAGGTGGTATTACTCGTGACTCAGTATAGCTTATGCTGGAGAAGCAAGTATTTGAATTTAATTTTTAACAAGTAAAACAAAATTCTAAATATCTCAATAACAATATTTTTGCTGTTATCCCCCTTTTAAGGTAATGGGAGTGACAATGAAGCTGAAGCATTGCATTTCAGTCCATACAGTGAAGAATGTCCCGCTCTGCACCAATCTACACAGCTACACCAGGTACAGGTCTATAGCACTTGCTGCAATAACTGGATTTGAAAAGGCAAAGGAGTCACTGAAAACACCGAAAAGTTTTGGAATTAGTCAACACTGATAGTGAATTGTATGGAAAAATCACTGAATGAATTCATAACTGTCAGAGTGTGCACAGCGTGACTGCTATTTTGAGACAACCCAGGAGCAAAATACAGGACACAGAGGTTTCACAAACAGTGGTTTATCTACAGGTTATATACAGTATACATACACATGCTAAGCAAGGCCAGGCAATCAATCAATCTTCAACTATAACAGGAAGCATACACGGAGAGAAAATACATGGAGATAGAATATGAGGAGAGAGAGAGACACGAGGAGTATGATACACAAGGAGAGAGAATGACGCCCTCTAATGGCCTCCCTTATATAGGCAGCTTCTTAAAAGGCAATAACCCAGCTGACTTATCCTCAGTCTTAAAGGGGCTGTTCAGCTTTAAATCTTCATTTTCAAGGAGGACCTATACTGCTCTTGCTCTCCCTTTTACTTTGTTCATGGGAGAAAATACATAGCCGTTTCCTGCCTAGTAGAAGTGAACGATCTGATTCATATAGATTTAAATGGGAGATATGAACTATATACTTTTAAGTCTGTGGCTTTTACAGCAATGACTCTTGGGTCCTTCCTGCATAATATGCATATAAGACATTTGGAAGGCCTGAGGTAGCTTTTGTGCTGCTTTAAATTGAGAGTGAATGGATTCCTGAAAACTGTGCCAATGTCATGGGGTAAGCTTTAAGTAGCACTATCAAGAATATAATCAACATATAATTGATCAGCATATAATGAACATTTTCACATGGTATTTTTCAGTATTCACAACAAAACATTTCACCTGGTTCACAGCTGGAAATTGATGCTGCTTTTCAAACTTTGACACTGGAAAATGGAATGCTAGGTAAAGTTGTTGGTGCTCGTTTATTGCTATAAAAGTTGGTTGGGGTAGAGGCTTGGATTGTCTTACTAGGCTGGGATGCTTGATAATGACAAGTATAAATGTGCCCGTTTTCACTACCATGCTTCAACTGGAACCACAGTTGCAGGTGACTTTATGCCTGTGAAATGGTAAAACCATATCCCATTTTTTTAATTATTAAAACTTAGACCAGTTTTTAAAATTAGGAATTTGGGCTGCCAGTTGTGTCTAATAATGCCTATTGCTGCATGACTGAATTATTGGTGTGTAAATGAAAGGGAGAGTGGAATTTGTAGTATACTTTTTAGGTTTAATCTATTGTCATACTGAACACTATTTGGCCAAGATGAGAACCTGATTAATGTACTTTATTCATAACTCCAGAAGAGGCTATATCGGTCCAGCTACATTGGATCATTTGTTAGCAAAAGTTTTTGAGAAAGGGTATAGATGCAGCTGCAAAGTAATCTTGGACAGAACAAATTTAGATAAAATCCCCTTTTGGGTCAGATTTCAGATTCAGGGTTGTAGGACTGAAGCTGCACTGATCACTCTGGTGGTTGATTTTTATTTGCACCTGGATGGCCCGAATGCATCCCTCCTAGTCCCATTTAGTTTCTTAGAAGCATTCATTACCATGAATTATGGTGTTCTTTTGAGCCCCCTGCAATGTGTGGGAATTGAGGGCATTATTCTGCACCAGTGTTACTTCCTACCCAGTTTCAGGTTTAATCAGCTGTAAGGGGGGTGATCAATTGAGTTCCTGGATGCTTGTCCACAGGGGATCCATAGGATTCACATATCTCCCTTATATTTTTTAAAATATACTTACTATATATATATATATTTACTAAGAGCCTTGGTAGTACTAGGGTTTAAGGCACCCTGTTATTAAGCTGCTTAAGACCAGCTGCCTGCAATTACTGCAGGGTTCGAATCTCGCCAAGGCTCAAGGTTGACTCAGCCTTCCATCCTTTCTAAGGTAGGTGAAATGAGGACCCAGTTTGTGGGGGCAATAAGCTGACTTTGTATAAATATACAAAAGGATGAAGGCTATTGCTGAGCACATTGTAAGCCGCCCTGAGTCTTCGGAGAAGGGCGGCATATAAATCAAATTAAAAAAAAAAAAAAATATGTACATGAAACACCTGGCTAAGGTCCTTTTATTTGGAGTAAGCAGATATTATGCTGATAATATCCCGTTATGTATCTCCACCCAGGGCCAGGCAGGAGATACAGGAGATCTCCTACCCAATGTCTAGAGACAATCAGGGACTGATTGGGATGAAGTGCTCTGACCCTGGGCTTCTTCTACCCAAATGCATAATTGATCATGCTTATTTTCCATTGGCTTCCCCTTTGTTAATGCCCACATGCACATAGTTAACAACTATTGCAATTCAATAGTGTAGATTGCAGAGATTCTCTGAGAAACTGAATAATGGATGTTGAATTTTACATTTAATGTTGATCAAGTCAGGAGGCTAAGTGAGTTTATCCCATACATGCCACTGAAAAAATCTTGTTAATGATGGATAATAATGTGTGTATAGGTTCTGCAGTGCCAAATGAGAATGCAGCAGGCAGTTTTTGCCAGACCAATGATGATACACTCCAGTGGATTATTCAGCAGTCCCAACTGAATCTGACTGAAATGCAGCATGTCTCATGGGCCCCAACAGTACCTACAGATTCCAGTAATCATATTGGTAAGTCTAAACATGGACTTTAAACAACGAATCACAAAATTATGGAAGTGGAAGGGATCTTGGGATTTATTTAGTCCATCTTCCTGCTTAGTACAGGATGCAGTAGAGTATTTCTGACAGGTGTCTCTCCAGCCTCTGGAGTTTGGATGAAGACCTGTTGTGCAGGAGAACTCATCCAGTCATGTAGCAACCTATTCTAGTGGCTGACAGTTCAGTTAGGAAATTCATCCTGATGTTTAGCTTGAACCACATTTCTTCTAATTTTACCTGTTAGTTCTAGTCCAACACTCTGCAACAACAGAAAATAAGTCCTGGCTCTTCCATATATTAATCTTTAGATGTCGAAGACTTGTATCATATTTTTCCTGTATAGTAAACACTCCCATGTCCTTTAATAATTCCTGTTTGTTTGCTCACTCGCTGAAGTGTTTCTTGGGCCAATCATTTAAACTCTTGAGTTCTGGGCTGTCTTTTTGACTCCATTAAATTAGGCATGTAATGCCTTTATGCTAAGTTTGTATCCAAAAGAAACAAAAGGAGTCTTATGGAGAAGACCAGTGGCTGGAAAACGTATATTTAGAGGGGCTACCTACAAAGCTCTTTTTATCATCTTTTTTCCTATCTTATAAAGGTTGTAGATTCTTTCTGCTGATTACCTTGTTTTATTTTTCTAAATACACCAGGAAATACTATTTTGTATGAGCAAACAACTTCCTGTGAAGCCTCTCAGGTCACCCAAAATGGCTGCTTACCCATAGGGAATGGAGTAGTGGTTGAACCTGTGGCAAGTAACTGTTACCAAGAAGGACTCCACTGGCTACCTGCAAACCCAACAAATGAGATTTCCCAGTCAACTGTTGCTTTTCCAGTATCGCATGTTCAACAAAACTTTCCTGGTGCAAATCAATTTAATCAGTTGGGTGAGTAAAGTATTCTGCAGCGTACTTAGATGAATTCAGCCCAAATGGAGGCCAAAACTTTCCTTAAATTGCATCACTGTAGTGGCTTAAATTCCTATTGACACTATCAAAAGTTAGTTCCCCTCTTCCTAATTCCATTTTTTAATTATTTTTTTTTAATTTTGATTTATATGCCGCCCTTCTCCGGAGACTCAGGGCGGCTTACAGTGCGTTAAGCAATAGCCTTCATACTTTTGTATATTTATACAAAGTCAGCTTATTGCCCCCACAAACTGGGTCCTCAATTTACCTACCTTAGAAAGGATGGAAGGCTGAGTCAACCTTGAGCCTTGGAGAGATTCGAACCAGCTGTAAATTGCAGGCAGCTGTGTTAATAACAGGGTGCTTTAAACCACTGTAGTACCAAGGCTCTTGGTTTTGCCCAGACTTTGCAAACTAATCGCTTGTTGAGCAGAAAGTGGGAGCTTACTTGGCTGTTTTCTGATTCCCCATTAAACACTTCATACTTGGAGAGGAAACTTATCCTTCTTGGGGAACCAGGAAACTAGTAAGAGAAAAATACAAACAAAGGGCAGCAGAGGAACATTGTTAGTGAATTCTTCAATAAGGCAATACAGAGAATGGCCGTTGTCACTGGAGACACAGAGAAATGTGTTCAAAATGTGATAAGGATACGGCAATATCACACAATTTTCTCTTATTTTATTCATTAAGACCAAAGTAAGTGGTTTGGCTAAACCAAGCCTTATAAGGATTTACAAGTCGTTTCACTTTTCACCAGCTTCATGACTTCTTTGTATTCTGAGCAGGCATTTTCCCACCTCTTGATTTGATAGCTTGATATGGTCAAAGATAAAACTACCAAACATTTGCATTTATTGCCAAAACCATTGTAGGCAAATCTGTATACAATATGATATATTCCTAACATATATGTGTTTATAATGTGTGTATTTCCCTTACCCCAGCCCCTGGATCTTCTTACCTATTGACCACTATGGATCTGTTTACATTATACTGGTTGGATTTCAAACACTTCAGCCAGTCTTCTATCAGTCTTGCCCAATGATTTATAAATTCTAATTAGAGTCACTTGCACAGTCCATCTTAGATTTATCAGCCAACATTGTACTGGATTAAAAATGAACAGTACACAGTCCATATGCATCAGCTGCTAGAGGTATCTAACCCATGTTGCCATTGTAGGACACTTAACTTCCAGCCAATGCCTCAATTGTTTAGCTTCCTTTCCTCCAAACTCTCTCTGATCTTGACATGCCTCCCTGGTATTCCCCCAATAAAATAAAGGTTTTTGTGTTCTTTGAGCAAGAAGTAGACACATGTAAAAATGGCTCCATGGCTAAAATATAATACTTGTGACTTTTGATTTGAGAATAATTGTTCTTTCTCCTCCGTCTTAGAAGAAGCTGTCTGCGATACTAGCTGTTTCGTTGATAACATTTATCTGAATGAAGACCCTCAGGATAATGGAATGAGGAATATTGAAATGAGGAATGACTATCCACTTATAGCAAACCAGGAAGTTATGATGGAACAGAGTGTATTTGTACCTTCAGCTACTCTCCCAACAGATGAACCAGCCATCAATAATGTTCCTTCTCAGGACCTTCTAGGTCAGTGGCCCCCAACGTTTTGGGCACCAGGGACCTGTTCGGTGGAGTGAGGTTTTTCCACGGACTAGAGGGGTGTGGTTTTGTGTGCTGCCTACATCGTGGAGGGGGCTTTGCTTGTTTGTATGGCCAGGTTTTTGGCATGCCACGGACTGGTACAGGTCCACGGAACAGGGGTTGGGGATTCCTGCTCTAGGTTAGTGAAAGAATTTTCTGTGGGCTCATGAAGGCAACTAATAAAAATATCTGAGCAGCAATAGCTAACAAAAAATATACCTTTTTTTTTTTTTTATTGAAAAGGTTTTCAAATACAAATTTTTCCCCCTTTTTCCCCCCCCTCCCCCCCCCCTAACCCCCCCCTCCCCACCCTTCCCCCCCTGTGACTTCTTCGTAACAAAAAAAAACCCTAATTCATAACAGATTACTTACTCCCTCCTCAAAATACTGACCTTTACTTACTAAAAGTATTATAAATCCCCCTTTATCCATACATTTCAGAAAAGAAGAAGAGAAAAAAAAAACAAAAAAAAAACAAACACATTATACTATAACTATTATAAAATAACTCTAATTTAGCATAATAGTGTTTTATATCTATGCATTATTGCAACAATTCAAAACCACCTTCCACTTTAAAACTATACAATAAGTCCTACTTTAATAACATTTCAAAGCGGGCTCCCCATAAAATCTAATTTAACATTTATTCCACTCTATCCATTTCCTCCACTCCCCTAAATGTATCACTTAAAAATCCCTTTTCTTAAACTAATCAGTCTGTAGCTAGCTTATTCACCCACTGTCTTACAAATTTACCATACACAACAATTCTTGATATCTTTAATTCACTGCCCACACTACTTAAAAATATATATATATATATATTCCATTATATCTAAATAAAAAAAGAAAAGACAATAACTTTAAATTTATAGTCCATATAATATCTTCTTGAAGTCTTTCCACTGGATTGTTAAAACCAACATCCATAATAGGGTGACATAGCTTGCGGATGCAACAGTTTATTCAAGATCTCCAATCATATCTGCCCCCATCAGTAGTAAACATCTTCTTATATATATAAAAGTAAAAACAACCACCCGAGTGACATTATAATTGTATTCCATATAATAATAATTGTGGGTTTCATCAGGATTATTAATTTCCATCATCGTATTGGGTAACAACCCGATCTTCTGCATGTCCCAATGTGATTCTCTTGCCTTATAATTCAAGATAATTATAATATATTTATCAACACAAAAAGAAGTTTCAAAGTAGATAATTCAAAACCATCAATTTGAGGCTCTTTCCATGTCCCAAAATTACGGCAATGCAGAGATCTGCCACTATCCTCAGGATGATATTGACCAATATGTCGCCTCCTCTATGTTTTCACATAATCATTCATATTTTAAAATCACTGGCTTCACTGTTGCTTGGGTTAGAAATTTCTATTTTTGTACAACCTATTTCTTTTTTTGTTTTCTTTTTGTGGGTTTGACCTCCATCCTAATTTTTTGTGTCTCGCATTTCTTTTTTATCCCTTGTATATCCTCTAATTGGTTTCCATGCTTGTCCTTGCCTTGATAAGTCATCACATTAAAATCAGATGGCACTTCTCTCAAATTTGTAGATAATCCAGCTGGGGTATCCGATAAATCCAAAGGCAATTTATCTGGTACAGTCTCTGTCTTTAGTTCCAGCTCCTTCTGCTTATCCTGTATTATATCTGAAGACGTTAAATTCATTTTCAACCTATTTTGATAAAATTCTTCCGCCCTTTCAACAGTATTTAACTGGTATCTTTCTCCTTGATATCTCAATATAATACCAACTGGGACGTCCCACCGGAATTGAATATTTCTCCTTTTTAACTCAGACACCAGAAAGCCAAATTTCTTCCTTTCCATTAATATCTTAGGTGGGAGTTCCTTGTAAATCCAAATCTTTCTTCCATACAATTGCAAATTAGAATTGAAGGAATTTTGCACAATTTTATTCCTAATTTCTTTATCTGAAAAATAGATTACCACATCTCTAGGCAATTGCCTTTGCTTGGCAGTCCAGGAGTTTATTCGATAAGCTCTGTCAATCCTACAAAACACTTCCTCAGGTTGAATCTTTAAGATCCCAGCTAGAAATTCAGAAGATATTTTCCTTAAGTCATCTCTGTTATTTTCCTGCAAACCTCTAAGTCTTATTGCATATTCTGTGAAATTATATTGTATCTTTAGAACCTCTTTTTGAATCCTCTGTTCCAGATATTCTACATTACCAGACTTTTGGTCAGCATCCATTTTAAATTTTTCTTCTGAACTATAATCCTGAATATTTAACAAATCATTTTCAATTTTTTGAATTCTATTGTCCAATTTATCTTGAATTTCATCCATTTTTGACTCTAGTAAATTAGTATTTGTATCCAACCGAATCATGAATTCTGACAATTTTAAAATTTTTTGCTGCAAAAAGTCAAACTTGGATTTCACCAATTCCTTAGTTTCCTGCTTAAATTTTTCAAGTTGCTGATTCACAATCTCATCCCTTCTTTCAATCTCCTCTAAGAGAAATTCTATTATATTAAAATCAGGTTTCTGGGACTGAAGAGTTAAAACTTGTTCCTTTAAATTCTTAGTGGGGGAATCCCCCCCCACCTATTTGTTTGTCTAACTTCACAAGCCTCAGTGCCATGTTTCCGCCTAAGCAGGCTTTGTTAGAAGAAGAAAAAAAAAAAAACAAGACAAAAGACTTCCAGCCAGCAACACTCAAGCCTCCAGGGAAAAAAGAGAAAAACAAAAACAGGAGCGGAGTTTTGTCTACAAATGTAGCCAGTGGTATTTATTCCGCTACATTGTAATAATAAAAAACGGAAGAACTTTCCCTCTCAAACTCTTCTCCAGCCGCGGCAGACGCCATTTTAAAAAGAAACTTTTTTCCTCTTTCTCTTCCTCTATTCTCTTAAGTAATTTTTAAAAGATAAGTAAAATACTTGCGCTTCAGTATTACAGGTCCAGCTCACATTTTCTTTGAGTAATCTGTCAAATTCGCAGGCTTGCTTTTGACGCCTGGCTCTGCATTAGCAGAGGTCTCCCAAAGCCCGGAGCAGCGGCTGGGGATATGGGGCATCTCATCCGCTCCATCCCAAAAGTAAAAGAAAAACTTTTGGGACTCTGCAGAGAGTTCTACCCACCCCTGCCGGCTCTATCTCCGTTTCCTCATGGGAACGGAGTTTTTTCGAGCCGCCGTTCCGTTGTGAAGGCGGCTCTGACAGGCAGTGGAAGCTGACGATCCCAAAGGAACGTCTGGCGGCGGCCAGCAGCAAACAGGAAGTCTCCAAAAAATGCCACGGACTGGTACAGGTCCACGGAACAGGGGTTGGGGATTCCTGCTCTAGGTTAGTGAAAGAATTTTCTGTGGGCTCATGAAGGCAACTAATAAAAATATCTGAGCAGCAATAGCTAACAAAAAATATACCTTTTAATTGGAAAGTAGGGAGTAGTTCCTTCCCAGACTCCTTTTTCTGTCGTCTTTGTTTTCTGCTAAGGCTTAGCCAGCATGCAACTCTTTGCAGACAAAAGGATACTGAGTCTGCTTTTACTACACTGTGTTCTCTTGTCTCTTGCAGAAACTGCCACATTTAACATAAAGGTCTCTATCTACTATCATAACAAGATGCAGTACGAAGCAGAAGTAAACAGCTGCATGTTCACCTACAACCAGGAGAACTGCCACCAACCACACAATGCACAGGTCATACGGTTTCCAAATCCAGAAGTGCTGACGGATCAGAAGCGAGTTCAGCATACCTTGACTGTCTTAAATGCTGCAAGTTTATTATTATATCAGAAAAACGGGAGGATCTGGGCCAAGCGACTTGGCATGTGTAAGGTCTTCCATGCATTCTCCAAGGAGCTGGACAATCCTCAGGACCCTCCTTGTAAATTACTGCAAAGGAATGTTGAAACTGAAATCTTCAACTATGAACAGTTCTATCGAGGTGAGGATCTAGAAATGAGGCAATGAGTCTTATTTATTGAAAGGGCTGTGTGCAGCCTTGAGTGTTCAGATCAGACACTGTGACATCTGGGTTGAAATAATTAAAAGGTAATTGCAGGCAGTCCCCCTCTTACAGCCATTTGTTTAATGATTGAAGTTACAGTGGCACTGAAAAAATTATCTTACAACTGGTTCTTGAATTTATGACTTGCAACATGTCACAAAATTTGGGCGCTTGGCAACTGACAGTTGCAGCATCCTGGGGCCACATGATTGCTATTGGTGACCTTCCCTGGGGGCTTCCAAGTCAAAGGGCAAAGTTAGATTTGCCTAGTGATTGCAGCAAAAAAGTTTGGAAAATCTCACTGTTAACAATTGCATTGCTTAGTGACAGAAATTCCAGTCCCGTTTGTGCTTTTAAATCAAGGACTAATTGTGAAATCTTTCCCTGCCATCTTCTGTTTAATATTGTTACAGCTATGCTATCACTGTTTTTAAGTCCTTAAAAACTGTTGTATTATAAGACTTAGTGAAGGCCTCTAAGGATAGAAGCCAAAAGTGCCATACAGCTTCTTCTCAAGGACTGCACTGGCTTGCATTTTCAGGCAAGAACTGTAGCAGTTATAATAGCAGCAGGAGGGAGATGATTGGAAGAAGCTTTACTCCAGTGATCATGATGCAGCTGGACTCAGGCAGGGGCAGCAAAAGTGCAGCTATGCAAAAATACTCAACGTAGTTTGGCAAAAGCTCTTCAGGATTTCGTTCAGGCATTTTTTTTTCATGCCTAATTTGTAGATCAGGGGTGTCAAACTTGATTTCATTAAAGGCTGCATCAGGGTTGTGTTTGACCTCGGGGGGCTGGGGTGGACGTGGCCAGAGTGGGTCTAGCAAACTCAACGTCACTCATATCGGGGGCACCTGTGGCGGCCCGAGCACTTTGCCAGTGAAAATGGGGCCCCGAGCTCCATTTTCGGCTGCAACAGCCTCCTGCAACTCTCTGCCAGTGAAAATGGAGCTTGGGAGGGCCATCCACAAATCTCCCAAGCTCTGTTTTCGCTGGCATAGGTACCACGGGCAAAGTCCTTCGCTGTTTCCAGCGTGGTCCCACGGGCCAGATCTAAGCACCCCATGGGCTGGATCTGGGCTCCAGGTTTTGAGTTTTACACTCCTGTTGTAGATGACAGCAATTGAACTTGGGAATTTTATATGAAATGTACTTGGTCTGACCCTAATTATCATCTTATAGTTCAAGAAAATGGACGTCTTTTAGGCATTCTAAATAAAAGGTATCTGGCTTCATGCAACATGCTAAAGTATAATGAATTGGCTGGTTTTGGCTTAAACAATGCCTTTAAGTTGATATTTGCATAGCTGTTATCCATTGGTATACAGGTATTATATGGGGAAACTGTTTCTTTGCATTCTTTCCTGTTCTGCTAATAGTTTGTTTATATCTGGGAGAAAGGCTTGAATTATGGATTGGGCCAGGAGATTTTATGGTGGCATCTTGAGAGAGAGGTCAGAAGGTCCCAATAACCTGTAATCACTTTCTGGAAGGCTTGGTTAATGGGTTAGTGATGATCAATCGATTCTAGGTTTCTTCTTACTGACACAAAATAACCTTAGATTTTATTGTATTTATTTGCCCTGTTTTTCTGTTTATGAATCCATCTATTGGCTTAAATAGCTATGACTTTTCTCTTTAATAGAACTAGTCGAGTTCCGTGATGGTCAAAGACGCTCGTCTCCTGACTATACCATTTATCTGTGCTTTGGACAGCGGTTTACTGCTGCCAAACCCAAGAAGTCCAAACTGATCTTGGTGGAGGTAAGGATATCGGTGTCAGGAAACTTACTGAAGATTGTTCAAGGTGATTTCAAAGGGATCACAGTAGTGGACTTCAGTCTGTTGCCACCCCAGCATGATTTCCTCCTGATGCCTGGATAGAAGGAAAGCATAGCCAAGTGGTTGTGTGGATGAGCCCTAAGAACTAAAACTGTGCAGCATTTGAGACTGTGTCTCCAAAAGCTGTTTTGGAGGGTGCAAGATCACAAATACAATCCCTTCCAGACCAGATTTCTTCAGCCAGAAAGTTCAGCTTCATTCAGATCTGAGCTTGCTACAGCTGCATGTCTGGATTTGAACATCAAGCCTTACAGACTATAGAGTATGGCACAGTTACCTTCCAGTTGGATTTGCAAGATTGCTCCAGGGGCAGAAGGTATACCAGGTAAAGAAGGGAAATCTTGCCATGAGGGTTTCAGTTCCTCAGATGTCAAATAGAAATAAATCAGTGTCAGTAACGCAACATATTAAAATGTCAGGTTGTCTGTATTTTCAGGTGACTCTCAATTTTCATACATCAAACCTCACTCTCTCTCCTGTTCCTGTTTTTTTTTCCTAAAAATCCTTTGAATAGGGAGCCCTTTGAAATCTTTCCTCCGGTGTGTTCTTTGTTGATACAGCAGGACCAGTTACATATAACCTGGGTTTCTCTAAAGCCACTGGATTCTGCTTAGGAAAATAAAGCTAGTCCCTTAATCCCTTTATTCCTTTCCACAAGTTTCTGCCCTCTGCAAGGTCTCAATTACTGGGTGGATGCCAGCTTGTTTAGCCCATATTGGAAGGTCAAAGCTGCTGCTACCCTGTGAATATTTCTGCCCCTTCACAGCAATAAGCCACCTTGAGCATCTTCATCTATAGAGTGGCATTTGCAGAGCAGGAATGTGCTCCTTGGTCTCTTTCTTAATTCCTGCCACCTTACAGGACTAGATAAGAACATTTAGGCCTTGCTGCCGGAGTGAGTGGGAGATACAACCTAAGTAAGGATACCTTCCCTGTTCTTCCAATCACGCTTGCTGATGAACATTTTTTGTTCAGTTGTGCATCACTCATTTCTGTATTTGTCCTTCGTGGAAGGAGAGATTACTCAACTTTATTTGTGTACTCATTCATTCTGGAGCATGTAAACTGTTGTCTTGCATTCTTGGACTCTCCATTCTTTCTCCTTAATCCCAGAATATCTAACGTTAATCTGTAGCTAATTGGGAAAAGTGACCTCTTTTTTTCTTTTTCTGAGCCCATTTTTAAGCAGGAAAGCCACGTCAGTGAAACCATTTCAATTTTCTTTTTGCAATTCTCCTAGACTAGAGAGTCGGTCTCATCCCTAATCACCTTTTTTTTTTTTTTTTGGTGAAATGTATCTTTGCACAAGCTAATAATGTTTATTGTCTTCTGTGTATCTTACAGCTGGTTCCAAATTTTTGTAAACATTGGCATGAATTCGTGCAGAGGGAAGGCTTCTCATCCCTGAACAGCGAAAGTGTGAGCCTCCAAATCTCCAACAGCCTCTTTGATATGATAGAACAGCTTTCTTCTATAATCATGCAGACTGAGGCAGCATATTGAGTGCTTTGTTTTGTGTGCCAATTAGTAGGTTTTGCAGAGGGTGAGGCTGGTTCTCTCCATTTGTTTCACAGGCAGAAGTACTATAATCTCCGGATTGCATCTCAGCGTTGTATTAGGCAGATGATCTCCTAATTGGACTACTATTTATTGAGATAATCACACCCCGGGGATACAGATACTCTGCCCTCTGAAATTCTTTCCAAGAACTTATTGGAATATATATCTTGCTATGTGGCTTTATGACAAGGATTCTTCTCTGCCGGGAATAATCGTGGCACAAAGTTGAGGAAATTCTTTCCAAGAACATATTTTCATGTGATAAGAATTTCCAGAAACTGCAGGGATGAATTTAGATTCTGGAATGCACTTTTATCGCCTATGTTTTGTAGGGAAAAAACATTAAATATATGTTCTAACCTGAAACTCAGCTGATACTTCCTTTCTCCAAACAAGACTATTCCCAAATGCTATGTGACAGGGCTAGAAGCAAGGTTTTGTATTTTCAGTCCTAAAAAGAAAGAAACTTACAAAGGACTTCTGTTCCTATGTAGGAATTGAGAACTGTCCACACAGATGGTGCAGTTTTAAAATATTTGGGAAATTTAAAAAAAAAAAAAAACTTTGGGCAAGGCAAACAACTTAATCAATAAACTGTTTTTAAGTATATCAAATTCCTTAGAAGTGGAAACATTGAAATTTCAAGGGGGCTAATTTCTGAGAAGAAAACGTTCCTAGTCTCTTGGCTGTAAAGGAGATGGGAGAGAGATTTAATTTCAGACTTGCAAGGTTGAAGTAAGCCTTTCAAGATAAATCAGATAGGAAAGATGAGCTTGTATGTCTATGGAGATTCTCAGTCGCCCAGGTCATGGTTGTCCCAAAGGTACTTTTTCAAGAGGCAACTGGACTTTCTGATTTTTCTTTGAAGACGTTTCTCTTCTCAAAATTGGATGAGAAGCGAAACGTCTTCAAAGAAAAACTAGAAAGTCCAGTTGCCTCTCTGAAATTACATTTCTCCCCTGTCTCCTTTAGAGCCCAAGAAATGGGGTCTCTTCTGAGCCTCCTGCCCTGCGACATTCCTAGGTGGATTCTGATCGTTCCCTTGGTTGTGTCTCTTTGCCTTATATCCCAAGATCATTCCCACATATCCTTATAGGAACCTGTTTTCTAGCCTAATTCATATTAAACACACACACAGAGGTAGAGGAGAAAAGTGATGTTTTGGTTGCAGAGTTTGTGGGGGTGGGGGGGAGACAATAGGACTAGTGGACTATATCTAGCCAGTAGGCTGCCTTCCCACAGTTGTAAGTTGCAGGTAATATAGCCTCATAATATGTGGTCTATGATGTGAGAGCATAGATCATTAAAGAATGTTAGCAGATCCCTGCTGAATCAGACAAAGGCTTCTCAAGTACAGCTTTTGTCTTCTCATAGAGGTCTAGGACAATTGGCAGTGGCCACATTGCCATGCCCACTTCTCCGTGGGTCTCTCACCATAGTTGACACACCACAGGCTGTCATCTTTGACTGGCCCTCTGCCAGCGTTCCTCCCCCGGCAATGCTGGGGCTCCTCTCCTGGCTCTTTTGTTGAGTGATTCACTGAGGGATCCTTGCCCCCAGGCAATTCACTGCATGGGACAATTAAATGTGCCTTCCGCATTTAATAATTTCAAAGCAACTTCTCTGTGTGAAGTTGCAAGGGTGCATGCACCTTATATATACCCCATTAGTAGAAATGAACTTGGTGGGTATGGGTGACCACATTTGCCTTCACCTGCAGCTGGGGTAGGACAAGATAAAAAATTATTAAGGTAGCAAGTAGTTACAGGCATACTGTCCCCAAGATTCCAATAAATATTTCGCAAGAACCTATGAAGACATAGCGTATGAAGTATTAAGATTTCTCATTTTGTAACACATGCTGAATTACTTTACGCATATTAGAATTTGTTAATGCTATTTGTTATTTAGTGTGCATAGAACTGAAACCACGATGCATTGTCTTTTGTAGTAATTATATTATTATTATTGTTATTGTTATTGTTATTGTTATTGTTATTATTATTGTTATTCGAATTTCTATACCGCCCTTCTCCTTTCGGACTCAGGGCGGTGAACAGCCAAAATAAAAACATTTATATATAAATACGATTAAAAATAGATTTAAAATAATTAAATTTGGCCCATAGTTTAAAATTTATCAATTTAAAATCCATATCAAAATTTAAAACCAACCATAAAATCATAAAATCAAGAGAGACCGGCTAACATATATAAGATGCAATTCTGGAAGAATTCCCAGTGCATAAGAAATAGGAGTTTTTTTGTTTTATAGTGATGCAATGGTGAATGAATACCAAGCTGCATCCTCTGTTGTGCACTGCACCCATCTCTTTCCTCTTCTCCTTCAACAACTCCATGCACGTCACCCAAATCTGTTCAGGCAGGTGGGCAGGCATGGAGGAGGGCTGCAGAGGAGAATTGAAATCCATTTGCCAACAGTCTCTGTTCCTCAGGCAGATGGATGGTTGGACATCCCAGGACCAAATCCACCTGGTTTCATTACTCGGATGATAACTCAATGCCTTTCTTTCTCTGCTTAGCATGATTGGCTACAAATTGGGTAATTTAAGAGGAGGGGATCTAATACAGGTAGTCCTTGGCTTACAACCATTTGTTCAGCGACAGTTTGACGTTACAATGGCACTGAAAAAAGTGACTTATGACCGTTTTTCACACTTACAACCATTGCAGCATCCCCATGGCCATGTGATCAAAATTCAGGCACTTGGCACCTGGCATGTATTTATAACAGTTTCACTGTCCCAGAGTCACATGATTACCATTTGTGACTTTCCTAGACAGCTTCCGACAAGCAAAGTCAATGGGGGAAGCCAGATTCTCTTAAGGACCACATGATTCACTTAATAACTGTGGCAAAAAAAAAAAAAGTCGTAAAATGGGGCGCAACTCATTTAACTGCCTTGCTTAGCAGTAGAAATGTTGGCCTCAATTGTCGTAAGTCAAGGACTACCTATATTTAAACTATCCGTCCGAAGCAGCAACATGTCCATATGTAAGCAGGTCAGAGGAAATGGACAAACTAGTAAATACCTCTCCTTCTTCCAAAATCCAAGGTTGGAAAGAGCCAGGATGGAGTTGATGGTAGCGCATGCTCAGAGTTAAGTAAGGGTAGCTTGCCTCAAAAGCAAGACCTGCACTTTTTATTAACTAAAGTAGGAGACCTACAGATCAGATTACATTCATCTTTGGTACAGCTTTCCTTGTTTAAGGGAAGAGAAGCTTAAATGTTTTGGTGTTTTTTTTTTTAAGTCAATGCTTTCAGGTCAGGAAGGGCTATAAGCATAGAGTACATTTTCCAGTTGCTGAATGATTTGGAGGGGGGTAGCGGCAAGAGGGGACGCAGGGGAGGGGTCGCAGTGGCGGGAGCAGCCCTCCCCCACAGTCCCGGCTTCTCATGTGTCCCCTTGGGAAAATTAATTGCCCACCCCTGCGTTACAGGATGATGAAATCTAGTCCCTAATTTTGTCGGCCGTACCTAAAGTCCATTTTAAATGGAGGCACGGTTAAACTGATATTTTAAAACTCCTGGGCCACGACCCATTACTGGGCTGTGAGCCATTTGGAAGCGGGCTGCGGAAGCAGCACGAGTAGTGGGCGAGCGTGTGCATATGTGCGCCATATGCATAAGCAGCAGGCCTGCATGCACGCCACTTGCACAAATGGAGCTGCTAATGCACACTTGCCGGCCTCTCACGCAAAACCATTCCCTCCCACCCACCTATTCCCACCCACCGGTCCACAAAGCCAGAAAGGTTGGGGAACTCTGGTGTAGGAGATTGGAATTTTATTTTCTAATGTTTAGTAGATAATAATAAAGTTATAGAGATAACTTTAAAGCGGGGTGGGGGACTTGGGCCTGGATGTTGCTGAAGTTTAGCTCCCTCATTCAGCCAAGTTGTCTAGGTCTGTGTTTATAACACCCAGGAATAAAATATCCAGGAACTACGGATCTCTTCTATGTACAACTACTGTTATCAAATCCGTATGAAGTAGTTTCTCTGAATGTGGCCAAATTGTGGTATCCTGTATGCAAATTTAGGCAGACACCTAACTTGCCCACTCATAATCCACTTCCAATCGGATTATATTATTTTGCCTGCCATTTATTTTTACTTACTATTACTATTGCTTTTAATGCTAGTCTGTGACCCTAATAAAAATTTATTGTTGAAGGCTCCTGGAAATGCTTGCAATAGTTGGAGGGCGTCTATGGGCTAATCTTCCGCAAACCTGATCTAGCTCTCCATTAACTCCAACTGATTATCTGTAAAAGGGCATTGGCTTTGTCAGTGTTTACAGCATGACTACTATTTTAAGACAACCCAGGAGCAAAATACAGGACACAGACATTTGCCTTACAAACAGTGGTTTATCTACAAGTTATAGAGTTCTATATACAGACATACAAGTAGTAGGCACATACCAGACAAGCAATCAGTCTTCAACTCTACATGGAGAACTACAATGCAGATACACGAGAATGATACACGAGGAGAGAGAGAGAGAGAGAGAGAGACGCCCCGTAATGGCCTCCTTTATATAGACAGCTTCTTAAGGTGGCAGTAACCCTGCTGATTAATTCTCATTTTATCATCTTGATTGACAGTTTTACAGCGGCTGGTCAGCTTTAAATCTGACAGTAATTAGTAAGACAGTATTTTGTCTTACTCAGGCAAAATACCAAACATTGTGATACATTGATCGGGCTTTTAGGGAAGCGGCTTAGAATCCTTTATTAGTTTCACATTTTGATTATTGGAATGGCTGTGAATTTTATTGTACATTTTTTTCAAATTTTGCTGTTAGTCACTATTTCTAGACATGAAGCCACTTACTGTGCCTTTGGATCTCAAGAATCTTTTTAGACTATGAATGTCTGAAAATTTTATTTTTACTGAACTGAATTACAGGTAGTCCTTGACTTAACCGCAGTTCGTTTAGTGCCCATTCAAAGTTATGGCACTGAAAAAAGTGACATGGCCATCTTTACACTTATGACTGTTGCAGCATTCCTGTGGTCGTGTGATCAAAATTTGGATGTTTGGCAACTATGTTTGGTTCATATTTGACAGTTGCAGTGTCCCTTGGTCACGGGATCCCCTTTTGCAACTTTCTGATGAGCAAAGTCAACAGGGATGCTAGATTCACTGAACAACCGGGTTACAACTTTAACAATTGCAATGATTCGCTTAACCGCTGTAGCTAGATGGGTCGTAAAATGGGGCAAAATTCACTTAACAAACGTCACACTTAACAACATAAATTTTGGGCTCAATTGTGGTGGTAAGTCAAGGACTACCTGCATGTTGTAATGTTAGAATTTAATATTAAGTCTTAATATTTATGCATTGTAAACCGCCCTGAGTCTCCGGAGAAGGGCAGCATATAAATTAAAGCAAAATAATAATATATATATATATATATTTTGTTTAGGTTTCTCACGGAAACATTTATTTCATAAACTCTGAAAAGTCTAATGAGAACTTGTAATGAGAAATCAAGTCTTCCTGTGACTTGTGTAAGCTCACTAAGGTACAACGTTAGTCAATAATATCTTACGGAAATAAATTGACATTCCATGTAAATTTAAGAAGTACGTCTTTTTCTTTTATTTGAAATGATCATGAAATAACATAGACAGAAATGATGTTGGCTAGTGATTTATCCTTTGTGGCTGTTTTCATTTATCCAAGATGTTCTACAACAAAAAACACCAGAAAATGAATTACAGATTTTGTTTAACAAATTAAACAGATCTAAAGCCAAATGTTACAATGATAGAATAAAGTTCTCTATTGCTTTCGAGGATATAAGGAGCCCCAGTGTGGAACTTCTTAGCAAGAACAGTTTACAAATCTTTTGCAAAGAGGTATTTATGTTTGCCCTCTTGCATCGTCCAAAGCAGCTTTTGGAGATCCAGTCCCAAATCCTGCAGAATTTTTCGTTTTTACATTTAACCCCTTCCCCTCCAATCCATTTTACCATATATTGCTTCTACCCAGAATAGTGGGAGAAAATCATGTTGGCAAAAATCATAACGTGCCCATATCTTGCTATTAACGTGTCCCTGGAATGGGACCATGCCCTGCTGCTACCTATACAACTTCACATGTCCCTGTAAGAACAGTAATTGGCAATTTTCCCTGGCTGAATGTCATCAACCAGAGTAAAGCCACCACCATTTCTCCCAAATCCTTATGGACTGGTCAATTAACCACTAAGTCATCTCCCTATCAGATGAGAGGTTCTCTTCTGTTTTTCCAGAGAAAACTTAATGTATTTCCAGGCTGTTACTCCTTGAACCAATTTCAGCCTGCCTCAGCAATGGGCTGCCCATAATACAGAGATTCCGTATTGTAGACATGTCTCAAGCAAAGAGTGAGGTTTCTTTGCATCATACTGAATAAGTGGATGAAATCTTACTGTTTGTTTCATAGCAGCATAGCTGATGCTAGAATAGTGGTAGATGAAGGGTCCAATGTCAGCACTAGAGTAAATGCAGGTTGAATGTCAGCACTTCAATTTATTTGAGATATCGACACCTGACATCCAATTTGTACCAGAAATGCTGTACATGACAGTTATGACCTGCGCTTTTGACATCATGGTCAAACTTACATTCCATTTTTCTGGCTAGTTTTCCCTTACTTGATGTCCTCCGGATATGTTGAACTAGAATTCATAATTCCTAGCTAGTTTAAGGAAGGATGCTTTAGACTGCCACATTAACAAACCTGTCTTTCCACATGGACAGTGCTGGTTCCAAAGGTAGCATTCCCATAGCTGGTGATATAATATTGTGCAGGAACCTCAGTTCTGCTTGGTTTGTTTGGAACTGTGGAAAAAGTGAAATGCTTAGTAATATTAGGCCTTTGCAATAATGTTATGGCATGCTATGGCAGACATGCTATCATCCAAGTTTATGGTTATCTCAGTGAAGTATCAAGTCACTGGGCTATGCATAGGGCAGTGATGGCTAACCTTTTTTCTCTCAGGTGCCAAAAGCATGTGCACACGTGCGACAGTGCGTACATGTGTGCCCACACCCATAATGCAATGCCCCCCTTGCATGCCCCACCCCCTGTGCATGCACATGCGACCCCCGCTGTGCTCCCCCGCCCCTTCACATGCATGTGTGACCCCCCCATGCAACCCCACCCCCTGCACATGTGCACCTCCCCCACTCCTCCCACCCCCACAGACGTGAGCATGACCCCCCCATGCCCCATTTTGGGTCTATCTCAGGCCTGCTAGGCCCAAAATGGGGGGAGCGTGCCGCTCCCTCCCCGGTCCCCGCACTTTAACCCTCCAAAACCGATGGGCTATACAGCCATTATACCTGAATTGCAATAAAATACTACAAACACAGATAGCACCATGGAATTTTGTATCTAAAAGCTTTTTGAAGAAAATGTACTAAGCCTATATTTTTCTGGACATTTACCCTAAGAGCAACTCACAATTTCATCATGCAGCATTCTAGTTTATTGAAATGACAACATTAACATTGGTATATAAATAATTAAGTCAGAGCATTGACATTAATGGCAAATATTCCAACCTCACCTTTGGGAAACAGGAGCTCTGTTTCAAATCGATGGGCACAAATTCCACAAGTTTTAATGTCTTCTTTGAACCTGGAAGGAAGTTGGATGAGAAACAGGACCAAGCATCACTAAACAGATTGGCCTCTAGTATGATAGGTTGCTACTAAGGTATCTAAAAAGGGACGCGGTGGCTCAGTGGCTAAGATGCTGAGCCTGTCAATCGAAAGGTTGGCAGTTTAGTGGTTCAAATCCCTAGTGCTGTGTAACAGGGTGAGCTCCTGTTACTTGTCTCAGCTTCTGCCAACCTAGCAATTCGAAAGCACATAAAAAATGCAAGTAGAAAAATAGGGACCACCTTTGGTGGGAAGGTAACAGTGTTCCGTGCGTCTTTGGTGTTTAGTCATGCAGCCACATGACCACAGAAACGTCTTCAGACAGCGCTGGCTCTTCGGCTTTGAAATGGAGGTGAGCACTGCCCCCTAGAGTTGGGAACAACTAGCACATATGTGCGAGAGGAACCTTTACCTTTAAGGTATCTAAGGACTAAGGACAAGATCAAAGTTCAAATCACTATACAAGCATGGAATTTACTGATTGATCTACGCCAGTTACACCTATTTCACACCAACTTATCACGGAGATGAAGGCTGGGATAAAATGAAGTGAGACCCTGATGTACCTCATCTTGAACTTTCAAAGAAAAAGGCATTAAAATGATTCTTAAAATGTGGGTGGCTTTGTTTGGGGTCAAGTTTGCTTTGGTTACCAACAGTGATTTTTACGAATGCTTTAAACATGAAAGTTTGAAACGCTATAGAAGTACAAAGGGATATTTAAAATCCCACTGCTGTAATTTGGAAAAAATGCAAACGAAAATGGAAAGAAATTGTCATTTGAGCAATGATCCACTATTCTTTCCTATTGCTATTCCTGGATAAGTACAAATCCCTCAGAAATAGTGTGGCTTGGTCTTAATTGTACACACCAATTTTGTGGTATGGTGATGGACAGAACAGGAAAGATTTAAGCTTGAATCCCCAGTGCAGCCTGAGCCTCCTGTAGACCCCTTGAGATAGGCTCAGATTTCAGGCTGATTTCTCAAGAAGGTCCCTTTGGAGACTTTGTATTAGTAACATAACATCTCCAAATAAGTCATTTGAATAAGAATATAAAAACATTAGTCTCTTAGCTTGACTATAAATATATTCTCTAGCTTAGGTTTAACAAGGTTAAAAAAAAATGATGAAGCCCTATCTATAAGCTGAAGAAAGAACCTGACATAATAGCCATCCTTCAGCACAGCTTTTTCTGATCTAGTGCCGTCCACATTCCCTAATCTCCAGTCTAGTTTGGGCTGTGCTGGCTGGTAACCATGGGAGAGGAGACCTAAAACATTTTGAAGGCAGCAGGTTCAGGGAGATTGATGCACCAAATGAGGGAGACTATAAAAGTGGCAGAAGTGAAACCCTCAGTAATGCTATCAGAAGAAATGTTTAAATAAAAACAAGTGCCTTATTTTAAATATTTTGGAGGTTTTGTTTTCTTTTTAAAAGTCAAATTAGAGGGTACAGAGCCATCCCACAATTAAACTTAAGAAAACAAGGATTCCTAGCAAAGTATCTCAGCTGAGGATCTGCTTTGGAAAGACAAATGTTATAGTGTATATTTTCTGGATAAAGGCCAATATAGAGGGAACGAAGTAATTTAAACAGCAACCTCTGAAAAACTTTACAGTCTTGTTTTTTGCTGGTGCATAGCATGAAATACGTACACAGTCATCTTATCATCCAGATCTGGCCAGACAAATTCAGCAGGACATTCAACTGTCCGGCAAGGAGCCTTTATGCAAAGATGGAGCCCAGGCCATTCCTCCAGGAGTTTTTGGTTGATGAAGATGATTGTTATAATAAAGTCCCAGGTTAACTGGAATCCTGTAAAAGAAAGGCAACAGGGAGTGTGGTCTTAAGATACATTCAGAGCAGCCAGCTTTCTCCAACTTAATGAATCCTAGATGGGTCGAATTTCAACTCCCGTAGTCATCATCTAGTCCAGCCAAAGGCTGTGAGTTTGGGGGGAGCTGATATTTGATGCTGTTGGAGAGCCCCAAGTTGCAAAAGGCTGGCCTGAACTTTAAAGCAGGGGTCTCTGGCTGAGGAACTCTGGGAGTTGAAGTCCACAAGTCTTAAAGTTGCCAAGGTTGGAGACCCCTGCTTTAAAAGATGCTTTAAAGCAGATGCAATTTTGCTGATTAAACATCTTGTGCACAAAGGTGCTTTCCAAAAGGCAACTGGACTTACTTGTTATTTTTTTTTCTTGAAAACATTTCTGACGAACTGAGGAAGATTCTTGGATGAGAAGTGAAACGTTTTCAAGGGAAAAAAAACAAGAAAGTCCAGTTGCCTTTTGAAACCTTTGGGACAACCATGACTTGGATGACTGAGAATCTCCATAGACACACAAAGTTTATCTTGGTCACTGCGTGTCAACAGGAAGTGACTTATGACCATTTTTCACATTTCACAACCATTTCAACATTCCCATGGTCATGTGATCAAAATTCAAACACCCAGCAACTGACTCATAGTTATGACAGTTACAGTGTCCTGGGGTCATGTGATCCCTTTTTGCAACCTTCTGACAAGCAAAGTCAACAGGGAAGCCAGATTCATTTAACAACCGTGTTACTAACTTAACATCTGCAGTGATTCACTTAACAACCGTGGCAAGAAAAGTCGCAAAATGGAGTAAAACTCACTTAACAAATATTTCACTTGGCAACATAAATTTTGGATTATTTTGGTAGTAAATTGAGGACTACCTGTATACTGTTTTGTTCTCTATCATTTACATTACATTTGAACCAAAAAAGCAGTCAATGCTGCTGTACATACCAGCCCTCTCTCCTGGCTTTCTGCACCTGAGCTCAATGTAGCTGTAACCTTTTTGGTTATTTGCTTTGATCAGTAAAGGTTTGCCACTACATACGAGCAGGCAGATGGCTTTAGCAACCCAGTGAGTTGAAAAGAAGGAACAAGCTT